GTCCCAGCGACACCTCATGATCAACAGGCTGGTGTGCTTCTTCCATGTGGGCTTGTTTCTCTGCTAGATGGCCGCTTGTTTAACTTCGAGCCTTTAAGACCTCAGACACTAAATCTTTTGATAGGAGTGCACCATCCACTTTCTTCACCACATTTGCTTATGCACCCCATCTTGTCTTCAGCAATTGTGCCAGGAGGGCGAGCATCTCAGAATGCCAGGTTGTTAGAACAAAGAGTTCTCGCATTGAGGGAGGGCATGAGCAGAGACCTAAAAATCCATCCACAACCTCAGTGAATTGCCAAATAAATATATGTACATAGGTCACTACCTCTATTTTTATGAACAAATGTCTTTATCTGCTTATACCTCTATTCATAGCTTTGCTTCCTAGATCAGTCTTCTGTTTCCTTTTCCCTTCCTCCTGCCCCACCATCATGCTTGCCCCACTTCTGCCTGTTGGTAATTCCTCTCAGCTAGATTGCTGTTGCTCCCATGCCCCCAGGATCTCTATGTCCCCCTTGTTATTGATGTTAATGCCCTAGTTGTTCCCTGTCTATGTCATTGTTTGTTCATCGCTCCTTTCCCCCGCCTCCTTCTCCCCACAGCTGAGACTGTAAATCTTTATGGGAGTAGAAAGCCTTGTTGTCCTCCCAGGGAGAAACTGCTGGTTTCGAACTGCTAACCTGGTGATTAGCAGGCCAACTTGCAACTCACTACACCACCAGGGTTCTTACACATATTGTAGGTCAATAAAAACTTAAACAGACCAATTAACAAACACAACCCCTGCCTTAGAAAATGAGGGCGCCCAGTCTGGAATTGAAGTGTTCTCTGTAACCAACTGCTTAAATGTGGGCAAGGTGCACCCAGAACTATGAGACTGGGGGTGGGGGGGGTATTGTGGACAGTGAGCACAGTTTCTTGGCTGATGTTCCACTTCTTAGGGCTCATGGAGCAACCATGCGTGAGGGCAGGGCAAACGGAGACTTCCAGGGGAGGGATTTTCCGGAAAGGTTTTGCCTCCCCTCTCCCAGTCGGATGGAAGCTCAGGAAGCTGGGGCTCATTTGGGCCTGCGCCGTGTGAAACTGAAGCAAAGAAGGCAGAAGGCCGAAGCAGAACCCAACTAAGCCTGTGGAACCACAGTCTCCCTGAAGTGTGGGTCTGAGGCAATGGGGTGGAAACCCCGGAAAGCCTGACAGCATTCTGAGTCATGAGGAAAGGCATTTCTTATAAGCAGTGGGTGGGAGAGAGCTAGGAAGAGGTCACCACAGCGCAGTCATGGGAACGGAAGATGAAGGCCTAGGAGGGGTGGGGAGAACTGCTGCCAGAGGTGAACGTGCCCTTCTCTCAGCAGCCCTCCCCTAAGGCTACCCTACAGAATCGTGACCCTCCACCACAGATGTACGGGCAATGAATGAAGACCTAACCTACAGCGAGTCAAAGCTTAGGTCGGCTGCTGTGTTGAGTGCTAATGTACCCTCAGGGTTCCTTATTTTTGGATTTGTGATGACGTACCTCTTTCTGTTGTTCTGGAAACATCTTCAGCACACGGCCCAAGCAATCTGGAAAACAAGAAATCCACAGTAGGTGACTTGGCACTTCCTTCTTGGAGCAGATCTGTCACTGACTGCGTCCCTCCAGGTCCTCCTGCGGGAAGCTGTCCACCCCAGAACGGTCCCTAGAAAGTGGCCCTCTCTGCTCCTCCCTCCCATCTGCTGCCGCATGGACTGTGGGAACCTGGGCCCCCACTGGAGACTGGAAATGTGGACCATGGTGAGGAAAGCCAGGCTGAAGTGGACACGTCAGGGACTCAGAGGAGTCAGAGTAGTTAATTATTTACTGACGCAACTGCCGGAGCCTGTACCACGGAGGGAGCTTATTGTGCCAACCTGCTTTCTGGCAAGGCTCACTTCCTGCAAGACATCCCCAAGGAGAAGCCGCACGGTGCCCCCTGCCAGCGCTGAGATGCTTACACACTCACTGACTCGGCTTTCCTCCTGCAGTCGGCATCATAGTGTGTGTTTTGTGAGATGGAGGAGGACTTTGTGGATTGGTGTTGGACATATGGGTTAATGTTGGACTTGTGGGCTTGGGCAGCACTGGGTTGGGATGTTTTCTTGATGTGCATTTACCCTTTATATAAGACTCTCTCTTATACACATGAGTTTCTGTGGATTTGTTTCTCTAAAGTGCCCAGACTATCACAGGCACCAAGTTAAAGTGGGCATTTCTGAGGGGTGTGATTACGACTGGCCCAGCCTTCCTTCTTTTCTGCATTTCCCCAAGAGTTCACAACACATGTGTTACCTTTAATCCAGAGATAGAAAATAGAGAAAGAAAGGGGGGGGGAAAGCCTCTTTTTAAAAAGCAAAACCTAATGTGTTCTATTACTTTTCTCATTCCTCCCACCTCAAACACAACGGGCGCACCGAAGTCCTGTCACTTTCTGTTTCATTTTCTCTGAAGATGTTACACAATTTCTCTAGCCTACACACACATACACACACGCACACACACACACACACCCAATATATCAACTTAGTGCTTCCATCTCACGGGACAGTTTTGCTTCTCTCTGCTCAGGACGCTCCGTTGGGCATGTCTGTGTCAGAGCCAAAGCCCTCCCTGACCTCCTCTTCCTGGGGAGAGTGGCTCAGACCTGGCTCCTTGCTCAGCCTGACAGAGAGCCCTGCTTGTATCACCTGCCACCTCCAGAGAAGACAACACACCAACGAACCGGGTACCTATGGGTCCCTCTCACCGTTTGGATTGGAAATGCTGCAAGACTTGGCTGTTCTCCTTGAGACCCGGAGCCCGGCAGGGACGAGAGGAAAACTGAAGAGACCGTGATGTATGGCTTAGAGCTTGGAGGGACCTAGCGTTAGACTTACACAGAAGCTGCAGGATTGATAAAAGACCGCATGAGATAGGAGGCCCCAAAGAGACTCCCCTCTGGGAATGTTGGATTGTGTTGGTGGCTTGGGTGGTTGATGACTGCAGGACCACCCTGGAGCCAGGGCAGCTCAGAGCTCTCCTTTCCCAGCAGCCCAAGCGAGCCTCCTGGCTTCCCTTACACAGGGTCTTTACGAGAAGTGGCCCTTTGAGGGAAATTCCAATTGTGCAATCAAGTCAACCACAAGATAAGCCACCCCAAACATGGAAATACTGGGCGAAAGTGATCCAGCCACTTTAGGGAGGGAGAGACAGCAGAGCGAGCAGGTCCACTGTGAATCAGACCCCAAATTGTTCTCCCTTAGTCCATCTTAAAACTATAAAAAAGGACACACACATAAGAAGAAGTCTAAAATTCACCTGTGGTGGTTACACAATTTCATGTTAACTTGATAAGAGTGAAGGGATGGAGTCTAGTCTGTCAAACAGGTCTGATGGCCCCTCCTTGTGGGCATAGCCTTCTCCTAAGAATTCTGGGACCATCTCTCTCTTGATTCTGCCACCAGAAGAGGCAGGCTTCTCTCTCTGTGTCTCACTCTCTGCCTTCCTTTTCCTGCTAAGGAGACACACTGAGGAGCTGAAGGGGCCACATGGAGATGCTTCCGCCCCCACTGGAGCCACAAGACGTTCCACCCGCTCACAGGGGATCTTCCTGCAGTCAGCACCATTGCATGTGCGGTGTGAGTCTAAAGAGGAATTTATGGACTAGTATCGGACATGTGGGCTAATACTGGATTTGCGGACTTGATCTGGACTGGGCTGGGGTGTTTTCTCAATGTGCAACTGTTCTTTGATACAAAGCTCTTTCTTACACACATGTGAATGTCTCTGGAGTTGTTTTGCTAGTCAACTTGGAATAACACATCAACTAAAGCTAGAACCACAGATAAAACGGCCAGCTAAGTTTTTCCAGTTATCACAAAAGAAGAATGATCTTAAAGAGGGTAAGATTCATTAGCAGTCTCAAAAATAGTGGCTCATAGTATATAAAACAATGAGACCACTACCTTGCTAATTTCTACAATGTACAAGGCCTTTTATGGTCATGAGAATGATTAAAAAAAATCACTCCCATCAAGTCGATTCCGACTCATAGTGACCCTGTAGGACAGGGTAGATGGGCCCTGTGAGTTTCCAAGACTGTAGCTGTTTATGAGAGTAAAAAGCCTCATCTTTCTCCCAAGCAGCTGCTGAGGGTCTTGAACCACCAGCTTTATGGACGGTGAGAGCAGGTCATATTGGACTTCTTTACTTGTGCTGTGACATCCAATCAATGCCAACTCACAGTGACCCTCGCACAAATCAAGACTATTTCTCACAGTTCCAAAGGTGCTCCTGAGAAGTGGTTCCTGTGGGGTAATCATTTTTCTCCTCATAGTTCACAGAGACAATGTTGCACACCCCGCTGTGACAAGTGGCAACTGAGGTGTCACAAGCCGGTGAGTGGCCGTGTGAGGTACAGCTCTTGGACTCTCCTTGTGCAGAAGGAAGAGGAGGAGGACCCGGAGATGTGTACGAACTACTAATGCAGAGGGACAACGGGCCATGAGAACATCAGACAAACGTGAGACGTGTGCCCAGCTACCATGGTACCAATTGCCCTGAAAGGGATCACATTAGAACATCCTAGAGAGAGTGGGAGGAAAATGTGGAACAAACTTCAAAACCATGAAAAAAGACCAGGCTTACTGGTCAGAGAGAAACTGCTGGAACCCCGGAGAATATGATTCTTAGTCACCCTTCAGGCTGGAGATGAATTCATCCCTAGAGTCCTGTTTTCTTTCAGTCAAACAACAGCCAGGGGAAGATTGGGGAGGTACACACACCTTAGAATCATCAGCCACGTGAGCTCAAAGGGCAGCATTTACCCAAGAAGCAGCTCAGAAGGGCTAGGAGAGGAGGAAGGAAACAGAAAACCCCAGAAGGAAGTGAGAATAGAGATACGCATTGTGGGGATTGGAGTCAATGGTGTGGAACAAAAGAGGTGTGAACTCTTGAGTGGAAAATTGATCTATCTGTTCTGTAAATTTTGACCCAATTCACAATAAAAAGTCACAAGTATACCCCTGTCGGTTTAAAGGGGCAGTTCAACAGCAGAAGTTAGGGGAGTCATTTGGGCATGAGCGTACATTGGTCCACTCAGACTGCATTCCTCTTAACTGGGAGCTGCCTCTCCTCCCCTTCCCCGTCACCACACTGGTGTTCTGGTACGATCAGATAGAGGGGAAGCAGCTTATACCTGGGTGCATGGAGTCCTACGGGCTATGTGTCCCTCATTGTCCTGCCGCAGGAATGTGAGGGACCAGCGAACCCAGCCTCCTAAGCAGAGTGGGAAATGCCCTGGCTTTGGGGAGGGCACCCTGTGAAGCGGAGTCCAGGAACGCCAAGCATGGCGGGTTATTGAAGCTGCCCCAGAGCACACATGCCCTGATCGTGGGCTCCTAGCCTGCTGTACTGAGATGATACACTCCTGTCCTTTAAAGCCACGCACTTGGTTGTGGCTATTGTTAATGTGGCAGCCCTAAGCACCTAAGGTAAGAACGCACATAGACTTAAATAGCGACAAAGCAGGACCTTCCCACCTCCTCGGCCAGGTGAGAGCATTCTCTCAGCCCCCATCATCACAAGTGCCTGGCTTGGTGCACTGGAGTATCTAGCCTGGACTATTCCCTGTTCTCAATTCTGCCGCACCCTTTACTGGGGCTGGGGCTTCTGGGACACAGCTGCATCTTGCCTCCTTTTGCAAAGCCCTGCGCACATCACCGTCACATCAAACCTTTACAACTTAATAACCTTATTATTTTCCAATTCTAAAAACATGCGCTTGATGTAAAAAGGTAGGAATGATAGAGACATTTAGTGGAGTGTAATAAAACTTGTCTGAGATCTCATCACCTACAGATGATTGTCAATATCTTAGGATCCGTCCTCACCACTTGTTTTTTCTATGCATACTGAGTTTATCAATGCAAATGCATCTAGCTATTGGAAAATGATTTTAGGTGGATTTTTTTTTTTTTTTGCCTCTGTATGTTGTGGTGTGCCACCCAGGCCATTCCGACTCACTGTGACCCTGTGTTAGAACACAAAGACCTCATAGGGTTTTCTTGGCTGTAAATTTTTTTTAATGGTTCATATGTTGAAATGACTATTTTTTTCTTCCTTCCTCCCACCCCCACCCCCCCCACTCCACTCCTCCTGGCTCCCTCAAGAGCCTGCAAAGTCTCTTTCTTCTGGTGGGGAAACCATTTTTCTTGGTTGTTTTTTCTTTTATAACAATGGTATCAAGCAGTATTTATCTTTATGAGACTGCCTAACTTTGGTGAGTATAATGTCTTCCAAATCTGGCCGTGCCGTGAGGAAGTTGACAGTTTCACCATTGCATTTTACAGATGCCTAATATTCCACTGTAGGGATGGACCAGACGGTAGTATCCATCTCCCCATAGATGCTGTTTTGGTTTTTCCCACTGGTCCACTAGCACCGTTGTGGCTGGCGCTGCAATGAACGAGAGTGTGTGTCTATCTGTGGGTGTTTTACTCTGTCCTTTGAGGTCTGTGCCAAGTAGAGAGACTGCAGGGTCGTGTGGTTATTTCTACTCGCATTTGTT